CCCCCCCCCCACCCCGAGGGAGGGGGGATGCTCTCCTCCGCTTGCCTGGCGATCGCCCCTTTTAAGACGGAGCCGGAGGGCTCGGCAGGATGGGGAGAGGAGGAGGAGGATTGCTAAAAATACCGCCCTGCGCTGGGGGGGCGCGCAGTGCCCGGCGGGGCGCAGGGAGCGCGCCTGGGTGCGCAGGGAGCGCGCTGCAGTGCGCGGCGGAGCGGAGCGGGCCGCAGGGATGCTCGCCCCGCTCCTGGGCTCCGCGGGTTCCGGCTGGCTGCTGCTGGGTGAGTGTTGTGGGTTTTTTTTTTCTTCCCCCCCCTAAAACCCCCTCTGCGGTTGGGATTTGTATCCCTTTCCGCTGCGTGCGGGGAACTCGCACAAATTTTCCGCAAAACGCCCTTTGACAGGGGCTCTGCGCGCTGCTCCCCGCCCTGGGGCCGCTCGGCGGCTCCCCCCTCACCCCCCGCCAAGCTCCGGAGACTATTTCGGAGGTTTGGAGGAGAAAAGGCGGGGGGGGGGCACACCCCAGAGCACAGATGGGAATATTTTATTCTGCTGCAGGCGTGCGGCCGGGGAGCCGCACAATGGGGTGTTACTGCAGGCGCCCGGCGAGCTCAGCGGAAAACGCCTTACATAATTTCTCTCAAAGCATCTCGCCGGGTGGTTCAGGGGGTCCATCGCGGGCAGATTGGGAAGGGCGCTTGATTCGGAGCGGGTCTGTGAAACAGGGCAGCGCGCTGGGATGGGGGTGAGGGTGTGCGAGTCCCATTGTTCCGTGGGCAGGAGGTAACTGGAAGCGTGTCTGGACCAGGCAACGCTCGCGGGCCTGCGATAGGAGCTTTAAACATTCAGCTGGAGATGGTCTGCTGAGCCGATTCCAAATCGAGCCCTTTGAATCTGTGTGAAGTGTCTTTCCTGAGGAAAGGGAACGTTCGGTGTCTGCGCTGCTTCTCCCTTTATCCATCAAGCAGCTTTCCTCTAGGCAGGCAGGCTTCTGAGGGGAAGAAGTACAAAGGGGAAAATGGTTTTAAAAGACAGCATCTCTGCATCGTTGAGGGACATATTCAAGGAGGGGAGTGCCAAAAATGGAAAATGAGATTATTTATGTTCCTACCTAGGTGCTATTTTTGATTACTGAAAGGGATGTTTCACCCTGGAAGAAAAAAATAATGGGAACTTAACATGACTGGCCTGAATTTTGTCTCTGAAAATATCCTGGTGGCTCCATTAAAATCGGTGGGTTTACAGCTGCTTATATCAGCAGCTTGAATCAGCTGCTTCTGAAGTGTAGCGAAACTCAGGCAGTGCCGGTATGGCCCAGAGGGAATCACAGGGGTGAATCGGAAAGCAAGGCTTGGCTTGGAGGCTGCAGGCAAGTGTTTGTTACAGAATTTTGGGCCTGAGGCCCCCGGGACTGCTCGGAGCTACGTTACTGGGTGTACCAGGCTTGTTTATGACAACGGGAGGAGAACTGGGGCTACTGGGAATGGGTCTCCTGGGCGAGCTCCTGCTCTCGGGTCTCCTACGTGATCCTCAAGGTCTTTTCCAACCTGGCTGATGATTCTGTGATTCTCCACGTCCACCTGCTCTGTCGATCCCTGGGCCTCCCCTCTCGGTTTTTGCTCTGCCGTGTCCAAACCCATCTCCCCTCTGCAGTTGATGAACCCAACGGGGGTGTCCGTTCAGGTGCGGCTCTGACTCGGGGCCTCCTGTAACCCCACACTCATTTTATTTGAGTGTGGATGCGACTTTAGCCCAGTGTTTTCATCTACAGAACAGCTGCCTTCAGGGGAAAAAGGTGCTGTTACTGCCCTTCGCAGTGCCACCCTCTGCAGCAGCAGAGACGCACATCAACATGGGTCATGGGTGGAGACAGATCCCGCCGGAGCGCGGGGCCCTGCCTCACCCTGTGGTTGCTCCTTTCCTGCGTGGTCTCCGTTTTCCAGTGGCCCCATCCCATCGGACACCGCTCCAAGTGGCAAAGGGGTCAGAGTGGCTGGGTTGATTTGCTGACCAAGGGGCTCCTTGGCCACTATGGCCCAGTGCGGCACTCTTGTTTATTTTAAATTAATTTCTGGCATCATTACGTGGGTTTTGACTAGTTGAGAGCAGGTCTATAATGCTTACCTTGGTGAGACAATGGTAAAAGTTGGAGAAAGACAAAGCTAATTATTTCCCCATGTGCAGACTTGGATTGTCTGACGGATGCACAGAGTGGTACCGTAAAATAAAACGACCCTAACAAACCCCCCCTGGGGATTTGCGCATCGGGCAGGTTTGCTCGGAGCAGTACGAGGTTACAGTTTACCCCTTGCTCCTCTCCCCTTGAGCAAAAGTGAGAAACCCCAGAGACTCCTCTGCTCTCCTCCTCCCCCCTCAGTTCACGTGGCTGCAACCCTGAGCCGCCTGCCCCGTCAGTCCTGCCTCACAGCGAGGAAGAGGAGGCCCAAGAAGGGAGTTCTGCCTCCACGGTGCCCTGTTCTCCCTGCTGGCACCAGCACATCTCCAAATATCTCCCGGTGCGTGTTTGCAGGGGAAGCAGGAGATTCATCTGGTGGTGCAGTAGAGTCCTACAGTGCCACCTGGGGACCCGGCGCTCGGGCGGAGACCTGAGTCCTTGCCGACACCTTCAAATTTGGGTCTCTGGGTAAGAAACGTTTCCTGCTGTGCTTTGTGTGTGAAACGGGGCAGATGCCCAAGGCTGCTCGGCCCAGCCCACGGAGCGCTGGCTGCTGCACAGGAGGCAACGCCTGTGCTATTTGGTGAGGTATATTTAGTTGCTTTTATTCTCCATCCCTCTATTACGGCTCCATTTGAACAGTTGCTAGATACCATCAAAAGGAAAGAGTAAATGATTTGGATTTCCCTGCTTGGCTGCAGGGAAGGACAGCAGATAGCAATTTTTCTGCTCTGGACTAATCTAGACAATTTTTTTTTTTTTTGGATTCTTGTCTCCATGCTACTATGGGTATTACAAATATATTCAAGTAATGAAAAGTGGAGAAAAGCTTCGAAGACAGATGGTAAACTGAATTAACTGAATACCCACAGAAATAGGAAAGCTGACTTGGGAGCAAGCCAGCGACAAAGAAATACAACATTACATCAGTACGAGTATAATTACCATTGTTCTGACGTCACCAAACCCTGCAGAGCAGCACAGGGTTGAAACCTTCCCTCGTTAGGACAGGTCCGAGAGCAATTTGAGAGAAACACCAGCATCTTCCTCCTTCATCGCTGCACGGTTGTGACCAGCACCCGAGTAACTTGTAGCAAACTGGAGGCAAGTCTGGGCGAGGCTGAAGAAGCGATGGTGGGTAACATGACACAGGCATTTACCTCTCGGTGGATGCGCAGGCATCCAGGGCGGCTCTTTTCCTGTGGGTTTTTTTTTCTTGGCTTTGCTAGATTATTTCTTCATACAGACGCAAACAAAACAATCCACTTAATTGCCCGCGCTCTGATCAGAAATGAACAGGGAGAAAAATGAAAACTTGTATTAATAGATGTTCTTCTAAGTGCTCTGCATGTGTTCTTTGGTGATGGATCAATACAAGTAATGAGTTTTTTCCATCACTGCTATTTATGTCTCCTGTGCTACTGCACGAAGCCAAAACCCTGCAGGTCCTTGGAGGTGGGGGGGGAGCCCATCTGTCCCTGCTCCATCCCCACGGGGCTGCGGGTCCCAGGGGCACGGGCAGATCCGAGGAGGGCCACCTGCAGGGTCCCTTCCTGCAGCTCTCCGGCCCTGTCCCCTCTGGAGAAGGTCCAAACTGCTTCGGCCTCTCTCCTCCTCTCCCTCTGAACAGGAGGGCTTACAGCGCTTGCGCACCCGGATACCCTCTTACCCTGGAAGCCGGTCAGGCACAGGGGAGCAGCGAGCACGTGGCTTTAAATATGGCTAAATATGCTTGAAATGCATCTGTAAAATCTATGGAACCCCAGCGGGAGCCCTCGTGCTTCTTTCTGCACATTCCTGTAGTTTGCTGTGAGCCACGTCTGGCTCTCCAGGGGCTTGGGTTGTTGGGTTTTTTTGGGTTTTTTTGTTTTTTTTTTTCCCCAGACGTGCTGATTCAGAGTCTTTGCGAATCCTTTTTTGGCAACTCCAAGAAACTTCGCATTGATACCGTGCGGCGTGCTACCGGTAAATGTTTTGCTGGGCTTGGATTGATTGCTGTCGTGTGCTAGCAGTGCTTACTGATGACAAGTCATTTACTGTGTCAAACCCTCTTTGCGCCGTAAACATTGTCACGGAGCCTTCAAGGTGACCTGTGGCTGGTGGGGAGGCGGGTGAGGCCAAGGGAAGCTTTGCCTGATTCTGCTTCTTCCTTATGCTCTGTAGATAGCTCAAATTAGAAATATTTTCCTGTTCCATGCGAGACCGTGCTGTGGAAAACTTGGTGGCTGGTGATGAGAAAGGGAAAGACACTGAGATGAGCAGGGATTTTTAGTCAGGAAAGAGTTTCAAAGTCTCAAGGGTAGTTCAGCCCCCAGGGCCCCAGAGCTGGTCCCCACGCTCCCTGCTGCAGCCACACGTTGTCCACTCTGAACTCGCCACTGGGGCTTTTATCAGCAGCCGTGTACGTACAACGTGCAGCACGCGCTATGGAAAAGTCTGGCTAAAAATACAGACCCTGCTTGGCACAGGCCGGGTTCACAGCAGGCTTTGGCGAAACCCTGCAGTGATTCTCCCAAATATTTGACTTGCCATCCCAGAAGTTCCCCTGTTAGCCACACAAGGTGCCGGTCTGCCTTTCCGTGCTGCGTGGTACACCGCTCCCAAAAACGTGGGGAGGAGATAAATCCAACCACCT